AAGAAATATTAAGGAGGCTGACACTAGAGGTACACCGGATAATGATTTTGTCGTATATATGACTAACTAGCCTAAACATACGATCTCCAACCTCTTGTCCTACCTGTTTTAAAATTTCCGCCTGTATCCCATCTATATAATAAGGCACCAGGCTTATTACTCTTTACTGTTTTAATGCTAAATCACTCTTCTCTCATTATGGAGTATCCTAGCTCACTTAATATCTCTACAGTATTTTCCTTCTCTAATACATCTCCTAGCATACACACTCCTACAATGTTTATAAAAACTAATTGTGACAAAATGATACTGATAATTTATTGTAATAGTTCGGTCATATTGATGTATTCTTGTTCACGAAAACATAAACATATGAATGTTATTCGACCCTTAACCTTCTTATAAATAATACGTACACGTAAAAAAGGAAACACAACAACTATATAGAAATAAAAAGTAATTTAGTATAGTAATCAATAAATAATACAAATTAGGACAAATAACCTATCCCAATACAATCTTAATTAGCAATTTTTATTGGATAGGTTTTTAATTATACTCTTTAAATTATTACCACTGGTATTTGTTTCTTCATTTCTCTCTCTAGTAGAACTACCCGGCACTATATTATTTATTCGATACCCCGCCGAATCCTAAAGTGTCGAATCCTTCAGGTATTCGATCCAAACCGGGTACCCCGTCCATCTCTAATTGACACTATAGGATTCTTTATTTGCACTCACTGGTGAATATTAGTGAACAGTATTTTCCATGAATATCTTACTTTTAAAGTTTCATCGAAATTTCTGTTAATTTACTATGGTGTCAACCTCCTTAAAAGTGATTTGTAATCACCAAGTGAAAATGAAATCGCACTGTACAAAAATTCGGTCACATGCGATCGGTAAGTAACTCTATCATTTCATTTTTGCTTCCCATACCTCTACTAGAAAAGTTAAACGAATCAAACACAACCCATCACCTATTTAACGCTTGATACAATACTAAAGAAAGTTAAAAAAATACTCTAATATATTCCCAAGCTTAGTAGACCACCAATTCTGTTATTTTACGTGCCAGTAACAGCTTATACATGACGATACTCATTAGCAATTTTTATTACAATGTTTATTACCTAATTTTGTCTTTGTAGTGTATATATATACCAGTGTCTCCATATTTACTTTATTTACAAAATATTTTCTAATGATTCCATTAAATTATTTTCATTCCCAATAACAAATTCAAACGACTGATATATGCAACAATAAGATAATCAAATCATTAATTTTAATAAGTTGTTGCATTTAATATGAAAATTGCAATGAAATTTTGAAGTACCGTTTCCTTTTTTTTTATTTTTACAACTAGGCACATTATATAACTTTTACTTCTTTTGCAAAAGATAAGAATGTCACTATTAAATAAAAATAGGTAGGAATAGTAAAGAATTACGAAGGAGAAAAGTGGGATACGTCATCGTCTTAGTTTAGAAGCAATTAAGATATGTAACTAGATAATTAATAGGAAGATTGTACAATTCAAAAGAAAGGAAAATTAACTGGACTACACCCAGGAATAATAAATATATAAGTAAAATACCTTCATTAATTGATGTCAAAAAAAAAAAATATTTTTATATAAAGGGACGAAAAATTTGTTTTATGAAACATTTCGTTGGACACCCTGTTAAACAATATTTCATGTTTGGACGTATACATTTAGATTATATTTTTCAATTATTTGGTACTTACCTCATGTTGATCAGATATTGTGCAAGAGCCACGGAGTCTGGATTTCCAGAAATCGTAATGGTACGGTCAGTTGACCCATTTTCACGATCGTCGCAGTTAGATATGCGGATCATAGCACCAGAAATTTGACGAATTTCAGCGATTTTTGTGCCACCTTTGCCAATAATGCATCCTATTAACTCATTGGGCACTGTCATCTCGTGAGTTTGGGTATTGGTATTTTGCTGGTTACGAGATGTGGAAGTGCGAAGTTGAGAACCAGCCAAAGCAGCAAGGGCTAGATAAAACATACATTTTGTGTTATTATGTGCTACAAAAGATGTTCCGTAAACAGTGGATAACTTTCAAGAACGCACGAGGAGCCAAGACCATCAGAAAATTGTGTTTCTGGTTTTGTAAATATTCCATACTCTTCTAGTAATATTGCTAGAAGAGTTTGGAATGAAAATAAATAAAAATAAAACAAAAATATTAGTGTGTACAAAAGGTGAATGTAAGGTTAGAGCTAATATAAAAATTGCAGACTGAATACTAAAAGTCGCTAATTTTCGAAAACTGTGATGTTAAAGATGGAAAAAGTGGGAGGAATATACAACAAAGAATAGCGTAGGGCAGAATCGCTTTTAAAAAAAAAAAAAAAAAAATAATAATAACTTTTGTGCTCCTCAACGATTAATTTAGAAATTAGAAACAGATTATTAAGTGCATGTTTGGAATAAAGCTTTGGTGAAACTTGGGCAACGGATGCTGTCAACAAAAAATGAGATGTTTTAGGTGAACGATGAAAATGCCATTGACAGAAAAGGCTAGAATTAAGAAATTAACGAAAAAAGCAGAAAGGAGGCAAGATGGTACACCAGTTTTTATTTCATGAAGGGCAAGTTAGAGATAAGTGTTCGTAAATAGTTAAGGATGTTGGAAGTTCTGCTTTTAAGAAAATACAACGACTGGCTGAGAACAGGAAGGTTGATGATGAGTTAACCATTGTAAAAAAGCAAGTCATCATCTTTGATGATTTGATACTAATTACAAGTGCGTAGATATCTTTGATTAAGAGACTCTGTCAAATATTAATGAAATAACAGTTAGTAATAATCTCCACAGATAGTAATTTATTGCCTTTCTATGGTTATTTTTACTGATTAGCAAAGTTTAATATATTATTTACTGCATATCTTATGATGAAAGGAAAGTAACGAAGAATTGGTAGAAACAAATTTTAAAGTGTATGTATGTATGTGGTAGGATAGTTCTAAAAGATCTATATAATAAATGAGTAAGTATTTATTAATTATTTTGTAATTACCTGCTGGATTAAGACCGCCCGTGTTTGCTGGAGTTAGACCACCTAAACCTAGCGCCGCTAACCCTGCAAGAGGATTTTTTCCAAGACTTGCAATCTGAAAACAAAAACACACACTAATGATTTTGCATTTACTAATATGTATTACAGAGTACACTTTAACAGTAATTCATGTTGCAATAGCATTATTTTTTTATTAGATATATTAAATGGAGTGCGCGTTCCTATCTTCAATATATTATAGTATATACAGCCAAGATAGGGGATGTCGTTCCACATTTTGGCTGCTGGAATGTGCAACTTTCAGCATTATGTACTGACGTACTGGAGATAGCATCCTGTACTACCTCAGGTTGGTCGAGCGCAAGAAGAGACAGGAAGTGTGCCACTATATTGCTTCTCCAATGCCTGAGTGACATTCCCTAAACACATCAGAGAAGGGATGTAGCGATACACTCCCTTCCCTACCTCCTTCTCTGCGTTCGACCACTTTGTATTCTAGGACTGCTGCACTTTCTAGAGCCCCTTATGAAAGCTTCATATTTGCAGTAGGAATGAATACTCCATATAATATATAGGTAAAGATAATGACACAAATACAGGGAGATTTAATACAGGCACATGCCGGACACTGATTTCTTGAAATACATTTTTATATGATAACAATATTAAAAAGTTGTGGTGATAACAGTTACTGTGAAAAAACAGGAGAATACAACTCACTCTTTAGCAACGTAGTCAGAAAATCGCATTTAAAAAATGTCAAAATTAGATATTTTTTGGGTGCTAATTAGATGCTGAGTTTAAAATATAGTAACGCCAATTTGAGTGTTGCGGTGTAAGTTTAAGAGAACCTGATTTTTAAACTCAGCTCCTTGCGTTGCTAGCGTGACAGACCTCAACTTTTTTGCAATATTAATAAATGCTATCACAATGTTCCCCAATTAAAAATTGTTTAATTAGTATTTTGAAATGTATTTTTCATAACTACGTAATAGGTATAATTATTCTGATGTCTTGAACAAAGAAAATTTTTAGTTTTAATTTAAGAATAAAAATAAAGTCTTAAAATGGCATTACTAACCAAATGTTTTAATTGAAGATATTGCTTCGATCAAAGTGAGCAAATAGAGCATTTGATGTTTTGAAATTGGAACTACAATAATTGATATAGTCATTACCAGTAAAAAATAGTGACCGTGTACAAAATGAAAATAAAAATTCTTCCATTCCTGAACACTGTTAATTGAATACAAGATAAGATAATAAAGTGGCTTTAAAACTCGTTCAGAACTGCTTCTCCAGATATTTATGCTCTTAAAAAGGGCTAGCATGACCGCAATTCTGTTACGTCACACACGGCAACTGAATAATGACTGGTTGAGTGTTTTGCGGGGTTTTGTGGGTATTTCAAACTTGAAATGATGCCGTACAAACATTTTTTACATATAATAATTAGTTAAATCGAAAATCATCGTACCAAATTTAAATTATACTACACTAAAAGTTTCACAAAGCCTTGGATAAAATAACACCCTTTACAATTTATATTTGAAAACACTACACTCGTTGTGGTTAATATCATTTGTTACCATACCATACATACTTTTGACCTGATTTTTTTCTGTTTTATTAGCGTCTGTATTTGCTGATAGACTATATTTGTGTTCGCTGCCAGATGGCAGGGTGAGCAATAAAGGTAATTACTCCATAGCTGTAAATCTGGGATGGTGTTAATGTTAACTAAATAGTGTTGTAAATAAAAATATCAGATGTCACATAATAAAATACCTTCATTAATTGATGTCAAAAAAAAAAAATATTTTTATATAAAGGGACGAAAAATTTGTTTTATGAAACATTTCGTTGGACACCCTGTTAAACAATATTTCATGTTTGGACGTATACATTTAGATTATATTTTTCAATTATTTGGTACTTACCTCATGTTGATCAGATATTGTGCAAGAGCCACGGAGTCTGGATTTCCAGAAATCGTAATGGTACGGTCAGTTGACCCATTTTCACGATCGTCGCAGTTAGATATGCGGATCATAGCACCAGAAATTTGACGAATTTCAGCGATTTTTGTGCCACCTTTGCCAATAATGCATCCTATTAACTCATTGGGCACTGTCATCTCGTGAGTTTGGGTATTGGTATTTTGCTGGTTACGAGATGTGGAAGTGCGAAGTTGAGAACCAGCCAAAGCAGCAAGGGCTAGATAAAACATACATTTTGTGTTATTATGTGCTACAAAAGATGTTCCGTAAACAGTGGATAACTTTCAAGAACGCACGAGGAGCCAAGACCATCAGAAAATTGTGTTTCTGGTTTTGTAAATATTCCATACTCTTCTAGTAATATTGCTAGAAGAGTTTGGAATGAAAATAAATAAAAATAAAACAAAAATATTAGTGTGTACAAAAGGTGAATGTAAGGTTAGAGCTAATATAAAAATTGCAGACTGAATACTAAAAGTCGCTAATTTTCGAAAACTGTGATGTTAAAGATGGAAAAAGTGGGAGGAATATACAACAAAGAATAGCGTAGGGCAGAATCGCTTTTAACAAAAAAAAAAAAAAAATAATAATAACTTTTGTGCTCCTCAACGATTAATTTAGAAATTAGAAACAGATTATTAAGTGCATGTTTGGAATAAAGCTTTGGTGAAACTTGGGCAACGGATGCTGTCAACAAAAAATGAGATGTTTTAGGTGAACGATGAAAATGCCATTGACAGAAAAGGCTAGAATTAAGAAATTAACGAAAAAAGCAGAAAGGAGGCAAGATGGTACACCAGTTTTTATTTCATGAAGGGCAAGTTAGAGATAAGTGTTCGTAAATAGTTAAGGATGTTGGAAGTTCTGCTTTTAAGAAAATACAACGACTGGCTGAGAACAGGAAGGTTGATGATGAGTTAACCATTGTAAAAAAGCAAGTCATCATCTTTGATGATTTGATACTAATTACAAGTGCGTAGATATCTTTGATTAAGAGACTCTGTCAAATATTAATGAAATAACAGTTAGTAATAATCTCCACAGATAGTAATTTATTGCCTTTCTATGGTTATTTTTACTGATTAGCAAAGTTTAATATATTATTTACTGCATATCTTATGATGAAAGGAAAGTAACGAAGAATTGGTAGAAACAAATTTTAAAGTGTATGTATGTATGTGGTAGGATAGTTCTAAAAGATCTATATAATAAATGAGTAAGTATTTATTAATTATTTTGTAATTACCTGCTGGATTAAGACCGCCCGTGTTTGCTGGAGTTAGACCACCTAAACCTAGCGCCGCTAACCCTGCAAGAGGATTTTTTCCAAGACTTGCAATCTGAAAACAAAAACACACACTAATGATTTTGCATTTACTAATATGTATTACAGAGTACACTTTAACAGTAATTCATGTTGCAATAGCATTATTTTTTTATTAGATATATTAAATGGAGTGCGCGTTCCTATCTTCAATATATTATAGTATATACAGCCAAGATAGGGGATGTCGTTCCACATTTTGGCTGCTGGAATGTGCAACTTTCAGCATTATGTACTGACGTACTGGAGATAGCATCCTGTACTACCTCAGGTTGGTCGAGCGCAAGAAGAGACAGGAAGTGTGCCACTATATTGCTTCTCCAATGCCTGAGTGACATTCCCTAAACACATCAGAGAAGGGATGTAGCGATACACTCCCTTCCCTACCTCCTTCTCTGCGTTCGACCACTTTGTATTCTAGGACTGCTGCACTTTCTAGAGCCCCTTATGAAAGCTTCATATTTGCAGTAGGAATGAATACTCCATATAATATATAGGTAAAGATAATGACACAAATACAGGGAGATTTAATACAGGCACATGCCGGACACTGATTTCTTGAAATACATTTTTATATGATAACAATATTAAAAAGTTGTGGTGATAACAGTTACTGTGAAAAAACAGGAGAATACAACTCACTCTTTAGCAACGTAGTCAGAAAATCGCATTTAAAAAATGTCAAAATTAGATATTTTTTGGGTGCTAATTAGATGCTGAGTTTAAAATATAGTAACGCCAATTTGAGTGTTGCGGTGTAAGTTTAAGAGAACCTGATTTTTAAACTCAGCTCCTTGCGTTGCTAGCGTGACAGACCTCAACTTTTTTGCAATATTAATAAATGCTATCACAATGTTCCCCAATTAAAAATTGTTTAATTAGTATTTTGAAATGTATTTTTCATAACTACGTAATAGGTATAATTATTCTGATGTCTTGAACAAAGAAAATTTTTAGTTTTAATTTAAGAATAAAAATAAAGTCTTAAAATGGCATTACTAACCAAATGTTTTAATTGAAGATATTGCTTCGATCAAAGTGAGCAAATAGAGCATTTGATGTTTTGAAATTGGAACTACAATAATTGATATAGTCATTACCAGTAAAAAATAGTGACCGTGTACAAAATGAAAATAAAAATTCTTCCATTCCTGAACACTGTTAATTGAATACAAGATAAGATAATAAAGTGGCTTTAAAACTCGTTCAGAACTGCTTCTCCAGATATTTATGCTCTTAAAAAGGGCTAGCATGACCGCAATTCTGTTACGTCACACACGGCAACTGAATAATGACTGGTTGAGTGTTTTGCGGGGTTTTGTGGGTATTTCAAACTTGAAATGATGCCGTACAAACATTTTTTACATATAATAATTAGTTAAATCGAAAATCATCGTACCAAATTTAAATTATACTACACTAAAAGTTTCACAAAGCCTTGGATAAAATAACACCCTTTACAATTTATATTTGAAAACACTACACTCGTTGTGGTTAATATCATTTGTTACCATACCATACATACTTTTGACCTGATTTTTTTCTGTTTTATTAGCGTCTGTATTTGCTGATAGACTATATTTGTGTTCGCTGCCAGATGGCAGGGTGAGCAATAAAGGTAATTACTCCATAGCTGTAAATCTGGGATGGTGTTAATGTTAACTAAATAGTGTTGTAAATAAAAATATCAGATGTCACATAATATTGACAAAAAAACATACAAACAAACTGTTAATCTGTTAAAGAATTTAAAAAAAAAATACTTTCTTAAGCCAATAAATAGTAATTTTTTTATCAATGTGGAACCTAGCATTTTTTCGCAATTTCAAAGTCTATTTGTTCTATGTTAAGTAATGTTTAGTTTATTTGCCCTCCTGTATTTTCAAATAGAATTCAAAGGACACATTTAACTTTTTAAGAAATGGCCAGAGTCAGTTCTTTTACAATGCGATTTTTTAATCACTGTCGTGATATCAATCGTATGGGCTCCCTGTAAGCGGCCAAATAAAAACAAAAAACCATATCGAAAATGGTCCTTTATAATATTTTCAACAAAAGTGAATAAGCGCTATGTAGCAACAAAAACATCAAGTTTATTTTAACTCCAGAAGACGAGGCCTGGAAAAATCTTTACTTATTCTATTAAAAATTATTACAAAAGTTACGAACTACTTGACAAGCGTAAGAGACAGCCATGTACAACCTACTGAATGCATGAATAACGTAAAGCAGTGTTAGGTTTAACACAACCAATGGTTAGCAATGCGTAAATTGTATGCACAACATGGATAAGAATTTACATGCCCGCCACAAAAAATCAAATAATACGATGCTGCTAACGGCGCCATTTTTGTTTATATACGAACACAGAACATCTAACCAGTAAGCCGTATATGCTTTACTGCTTCCCTATTATAAATGGTATAATAAGACACCTCGATAATAAAAACAAGTAAGCGTTTTAAAATATTACGTTGTGACTAGCACTTAATGCGTTTAGATATTTCAAAACGTTCAAGATCAAGTCAAACGTAAAATGAGAAACATTAAGTTTCTAGTTAGCAATTTATAGAAAATATCAGATGTAGATAGCGATTTTGAAGATTCCAAACACTACAGTTAGCAGTAAATGTCAGCAAATGGCGATTTGATATAAAATAAGAGTGCTAACAACAACCACAATAATGATAAAAAGACCAAAACAGAACTTATAACAGCAACATTAATTCTGTAATTCCTCAAATGAAGTCATAACCTCATTTTCATAGTTTGAATACAATTATGCTTATTTAATGCAAATAATTAATAAATGTAGTGAATACTTTGCCAAAATTGCGTGTCATTATAACAACAGTTTTGAAAATAGACTACAAACGATAAAAACTGAACATAGTGTGAGGCCACTGGCCTGGTGTTACGAAACCGTGCCTAATTTGCGAGTTTTGACGAGTTATATTGGAAGGGGTCAAAAAATATTAATTAATTTTAAATTAGAGCAATCTAGCACAACCACAATAACTTTCTTTTCAATATGTGAATAACATAAAATAACAGTAAAAAATACATTTTTAATTGCAAATCCTGTTGAATTTGTAAGCAAATAAGAAAATGTAAAAAAGATGAACCACTTAAAATGTCCACCATTCGTACAGATTTCTTCTTGGAGCGCATTGATTTTCTTCCGGCCTTTAACGCGGTATCTCAAAATTTTAATAGTGGTTACTTAAGCCATGTGACCAATTATCACAGGCATTTCTTTAATAAACGTGTAGAATATTGACATTTTTAATTACATACTCATTTGTGGTTATGTACTCACAATGTATGTGAAAGCTACTTCTGAACACCTATTGAGTAGGTATAAACATAAATAACAAATTTGACACTCACTCCAATTTCCATTAACACGTTTCACAACGAACACGTGTTTCATCCACTTAGAATGTGAAAATTATCTAGGCGAGATAATGACCACATTCGATGGGTGCCAAATGTGTCTGCGTGAAAAGTTCTAATGGCAATTAGGGATAAGTCTTTATTTTTGGTTATTATTCCTTACCAGTTTCCATTTTCTACTTTACTACTAAATCTTGCGTTTTGGGTTCACGTTGGCAATGAAATTATAATAATAAGGATAACAGAAATATTATTTTTTGCATGCACAGGCTTTCAAATAAAAAAGGCGGAAAAATTAGTTATTGGCAGTTGACAACTAGGGGCTGACTATAACTCGTGGACACATATACGAATTATCCTAAACATATATGTAGGTATGTGGGGGGGGGGAGCACCAATACGATGATTTTATCATTTTGCAAAATAACTTACATCTGGCGAGATGAGATGTGAAGGCGGCAGTGCAGCCTGCAAGTGTCCGTTCTTGAGGGGCTCGAGCGGTAGAAGGGACGAGGCCGTGGGCGCAACAGCACCGGCCAACGGATGCCCGAGGGGCAACGAGGGAATCAGGGGGGGCATTAAAGAGGAGGCGGTACTTACGTCTGCGTGGGCGGGAACGGCGTAGTTGCCTTGGATAGTATAGGCTTGACCACCGGCCAGGATCACAGGGCCACCGACTTGGGGTTTAGGGCGATAGGGGATGGTTACTCCTTTTGGGGGGGACTGAAACAAAAAAAAAATGAGTAAGTATACAAAATTGACATTTTGGTTGTAAACCTGAAGACTAAGGTTACAATTGATCTATAATAAACAATCAAAACCTTAATGCTTATAGGTTACGATTATTCAAGTGCCCCAAATGTCTGAAAAAAAAGGATGAAGAAAAATATTATCTTTCCATTATATACATAAAAAAATTTTTTTGCAATTTCATTACCTATTTTAAATTAGGAGGAAGAGAAAACAAATATAATAAAACAAAAAATACAACATAGCACGAAGATCTCTCGAAAGCAGCGCCACAAATTGTTAATTAAAAACGATTCTACACAATTAGAAAACATAAAGTTTACTTAATGAATCATAAAGTCGAAGACTGGTTGAGCACACCTCCACTTCTTTCAATCATGAACTAATCTTCGCATTCTTATAAAAATTGAACAACTTATCTATCCGAGGAGAGAATGAATTTGCATAAATGTAGGCGGAGCAAAGAAAAAAATATTTTAAAAAAATGATAACGGTAATATTAATAATACCCGTAACTCGATCTACCAGCAATTAATAACGCATAACAGAGATAGCACTATCCTTTTTTAATGCTATGTTTATCGAATTATACTTTATATTCGTAGTCATTTTTAGTTCACTATTCTTTTCTATGTCTGTTTGTATTTTTGTTAATAGATTTAAGAAAGTATAGTGCTTATGAAATTCGCTGATAGGTCCATACCCGTTCATTCTTACGTGGGACAAATAATACATCAACTATTTGCAAACAGTAATCAAATCTAGCTCTATCTGTACCCCTTGAACTCATGTTTCTGCTTCTGATACGTTTATCTCTAGTCCTTCAGTTATATTTATCTTGCCTATTTCTTACTAAATAGTGAAAAGTAGAAGTCGCCGATTTTCGATATCTAAGTTTGATAAACTTGGGTGGAAAAGGGGTAGAAACAAAATGAGAAATAGTGCACTCAACTCGATTTACTCTGTATTCGTGAGTGGTTAATTTAGAAATTTGAAAATTTTTATTAAATGTGGATATTTGGAGTTCGGCTCTGTACAGGTGCGAAACGCGTACATCTAAGAAAATGCAGATGTGAGACGGTATGACATCTTCTGAGGCATAATAGCGTAGTTAAAGATATATTAGAAGCCGAAACAGAAGTAAAGAGCAGTAAATAGAGATGTTGGATGTGAATGCGACGACTGAATCAAGATTGAAAGAACTTATGGTGCTTGTTAAACCAGTCTATGAACTGATAACATAGACTCCGATTTAATTTAGAACTTGTGTATTATTTTCTAAAATCAATACTATTTACGAAACAGTTACAGTTGCCTTAAAACGGGCACTGTTAAGTTTCAATCTTTAAAATTAGAGTACAAATGAAATTGAAATGCAACCCAGTTCAGTTTTAAATTAAAAAACAAGGTACTAACCTCGAGCATTACGTTACAAATATGAAAAATGCATTGCGTTATGGCTTCTGCCGTTCCAGAAATAGTAACGGCGCGTTCAGTTGAGTTGGGCAGCATTTCGGATGCCACCTGTATGGAAGCTCCTGTCACTTCACGAATCTCTTTGATTTTAGAACCTCCTTTTCCAATTAAAGATCCACATTGGCTTGCAGGTACGATCAAACGGAGTGTAATTGGTGGACGTGGAACTCCACTTCCTACACCATTGTTGATGTCTTGGAACTAAAACATTGATAAATACAATTATAAAAGTGATACATCTAACAAATAAAAAACTAACATGAAGTTAAAGGCCAAGTTAAAGTCCCACGAAATAGATAAGGTAAAATCTTATAAATATTGTACTACATATTTTTTAAGAACCTCTCGGTTTTTATTGTAGAACTTTTAGGTAGTTTGAAAACTAATGCAAGGATGCTAGTAAAATGTGAAAAAAATTGGCAGTTATAGGGACTGCCGATAGAAGTGAAAACATAGAACTTTTAGTATTAAAATTTCAAATTTCACAATGTTAGAATAAAAATTATCAACATCAATCTGGTTTTCACATCTGTTGACACTCCGAGCAACAATTATATGCATGTTTATATGGTTTTTTATTATTCAAATATTTTCATAAATTTCAATGTACTTGATTTTTAACATTGTTTGCATCATTGTCATCATTAATTTCAACAATACTTAAGACTTTTTGTACTTTTAATTATTTCATTGTGTTCTAAAAAAGATACAATATGCTTATGGTAACTAAAGTAAAAAATGAAAACGTTTGATTGAAATTTATCTAAGTATCGCGTAAAAATCGCATCGATCGTCTTAGCTGTATAGTTACAGATATACTGCTACAAGCATGTCGGTGACGCGAACGCATGAGATTTCACTCATCCAAAAAGCGTCTAACGCCCACAGCACACGGCCGCTGCGCGTGCGCCAGTCATGAACATGTCTGTGACGCGAACCTATAACATTTTCCACTACCAAAAAGTGCCCAACGTCGCTAAAGAAGTTTTCACTTCAACAAAAAGTTCAGCAACAAGTACATCAAAGGGCAATGACATGTTCGAGCCAATCTAGCACCTATAATCTTGCAACAGTGCAATGCTCGTCCACACACTTACCAGAAAAGAGGTTGCAAAACCACACCCTCCTTATTCCCCCGATCTTGCGCCTTGCGATTTTTGAAGTGAAAACTTTTTTAGCGACGTTGGGCACTTTTTGGTAGGGGGAAAATGTTATGGGTTCGCGTCACCGACATGCTCACGATTGGCGCACGCGCAGTGGCCGTGTGCTGTAGACGTGAGACGCCTTTTGGATGGGTGAAATCTCGTGTGTTGGTCTCACCGACATGCTTGTAGCAGTATATCTGTAACTATACAGCTACGACGATCGATGCGGTTTTTACGCGATACTTAGATAAATTTCAATCAAACATTTTCATTTTTTACTTTAGTTACCATAAGCCTATTGTACCTTTTTTAGAACACAGTGAAATCATTGAAAGTACAAAAAGTCTAAGTATTGTTGAAATGAATGATGACAATGATGCAAACAATGTTAAAAATCAGGTACATTGAAATTTATGTAAATATTTGAATAATAAAAAACCATATAAACATGCATATAATTGTTGCTCGGAGTGTCAATAGATGTGAAAACCAGATTGATGTTGATAATTTTTATTCAAACATTGTGAAATTTCAAATTTTAATACTAAAAGTTCTAAGTTTTCACTTCTATCGGCAGTCCCTATAACTACCAATTTTTTTATTTTTATTTTGCATTAAAATTTGTATATGAAATCTTTGCTACAGTCGAACCTGGATAAGGGAAAACTGGAAAAGTGAGAAAACTCTATAGGCGACAAAAATAGTCAGGTCCCGTCATTTTTAGCCCCGAAAGCCTCTGTGAGTGACAGTGTGAATACCTCTTTTAGAGAGAGTCATTTTTCACTTCTAGACATTTGTAAGTGACAGTTTCTTACTCTAGACCTCTGTAAGCGAGACTATTTACAATTACTAGACATCTGCAGCACAATTGTGCGCTTGTTTCTCCCTGCTCATGGTAGTCATCCTGTCATCCTCAACATTTGGTTTCAGTTGATAATAATAATTGGAGAAAGTACAGTTGACGTTGTTCCCTCATAATCTTGTTGAAGCGAAAAAGTGATTTTATAAAATTTATGAAATTGAACAAAAAATATTCAAAATTGTAAAAAGGATACTCAGAAAAAATTAACTGATTTCCTTAAATAAATAAAATAAGTACCTATTTATAGCCTAATGTGTATATACTTATGTATTACCTATTTCTTAACGCTCTAGCACCATGTTTATGTTCGATTTTTATTAACCTCTATAAATGAGAAAACTCTATGAGTGAGAATAATATTCGGGTCCCATGAATTCTCGCTAACCCAGGTTTGACTGTATTTTTTAAATTTTATATTTTTTTATTCTAATGATTATTATAAAGTTTTGAAAATTATTAATAAGTGTTACTTGATGTACGGCCCGCCAAAGTTTTAAAATTTAAATTGGCCCGTTGATTAAAAAGGTTGCTCACCCCTGCTGTAAATTATACAGTGGCAAAGTTTCATTAAAATTTACCCAGTAATTTTGCATTAGTTTGTAACAGAAAAGACCCTAGATAATATATTTTATTTTATAAAAAGACGAGTTCTACGTAATACTTCAAAAACCTTAGGCATATATGGAACAGCTAATAAGGTGACTTTGCTTTCTTAAATGTTTTATAACTTGCGCCAGTTCTGTAGCTTCCTTATTCATTTTTAAAACGTCATAACGTCATAAGTTTCTTTTTGTTGCCTTCAATAAAATTTGAGATAGAAGCATCAACTTAACCGGAAACGAATTGGTCTGATCGTGAACGATAAATATAGGGTTATTCGGAAAGTCATTTCGTTTTTTTTTTTGTGGAAATGAAAGACAGTTTTCGTATAATAAACAAATACTTTATTAAATTATATATTGACCGTTCTGGTCCAACACCTTTTGCCATCTTTCTGGTAGTAGCATAATTCCACGCTCATAAAATTTTTGGTCTTTGCTGGCAAAAAACTGATCGAGGAGGTTTTTGACCTCCTCATTTGAGGTGAAGGTTTTACCGTCTAAAAAATTTTGGAGTGACCGGAACAAATAATAATCCGATGGTGCCAGGTCTGGAGAATATGGTGGGTGTAGCATTGTATCCCATTCAAGCTGTAAAAGCTTTTGGCGAGTGACCAAACTTGTGTGAGGTCTCGCGTTGTCTTGGTGAAACACTACACCTTTCCTGTTGATTAGTTCTGACCTTTTCTGTTGAAGTGCATCATTCAGTTTGTCCAGCTGATGACAGTAGACTTCCGAATTAATCGTTGTGTTATCCGGTAAAAGCTAAAAAAAAACGATTCCTTTAAAATCCCACCAAACAGACAGCATCACCTTTTTTTGGTGAATATCGGCTTTGGAAATGGTTTGAGCCGGTTCATCTTTTTTGCTCCATGACCTCTTGCGTTTGACGTTGTTGTATACAACCCATTTTTCGTCCCCAGTGATGATGCGCTTCAAAAACGGATCATTTTCGTGACGTTTGAGAAGCGAATCGCAGACGTCAATGCGGCGACACAGATTTCTCTCTGTGAGAACATGGGGAACCCATACATCGAGCTTCGAGGATAATCCCAGGCCTTTCAAGTGGTCATAAACTGTTGAATTTGATAAATTTAACCTCAATCCGATCTCACGTGTTGTTATTCGCCGGTTCACATCAACTAATGCCTTTATCGCGTCTTTATCAGCTTCAACCGGCCTTCCCGAACGTGGTGCATCTTCGACATCAAAATTGCCGGATCGAAATTTAGCGAACCAGTTCTGGCACTGGCGTACTGTCAACACACCTTCTCCATACACATCAGTCAATTTCTTTCTGGCTTGAACAGCATTTTTACCTTTTCTGTAGTAAAACAGTAAGATATGTCGAAAATGCTGCTTATCGCTCTCCATATTAGAAGGGCACCACCCAAAAACTACTGCGTAGAATTAATTGGAATTTTTCACACACAAGCCTTGATATATGAGCTCTCAAAGCATATAAAAATTATACGGCTTAAATGTGAAGTTGGGGGCAAAAGAATACAATTAAATCCTCTTTCGGGAAAAAACGAAATTACTTTTCGAACAACCCTATAGTATAAATCTATAAACATTAACTTTACAAAAACACTTACCTCTTCGAATTTTTTACAAATAAGTGTGAATGCTTTGAAAATTGCATTTGTCGATCCTGTTACAGTCACAATCCTTTCAGGGCACGAACCATCTGATATATTAATTTTTGCACCAGACTAAAAAAATAAGACAATTTTCAACAAGTGTATTCAATTGTTAACGTTTTTATTACTAACCTCCTCACGAAAGCGTTTCACTATTTCTCCCTTTTTCCCAATTATGCTGCCCACTTCCTGCAACAATAAAAATTAACTCCATTAACACATCATAAGTACACACCCATGTAGGTACAGTCTCAACTTGAGAATGACATTCTCACAACAATAAGGCGTAGTTGCTTTCTTGTTTGGAAAGCTACAACTTGCAATTGTCTAGATATCCGCCTTATTGAAAAGTTATGCTAGATTAACTGATTTTTCTTTGTTTTGCTTTTTAATTTTGGATGCCACGCAATTACGTATAATCAATTTTATCTCTGGTATATTTTAATTCACTTTGTGTTGATTAAAGGAATGCCTTAAGATTGTTAGCAAGTAATTAGATCTTTAACTAAACTGATAATCGTCTTTAAGACTGCAAATACTCTCAGAGAATGAGGGCTGGATTTCCAAACATCACAACCCTTCATTTATAATGAACGTATCTAGAAGGCGACTTGAAAGGCATTTCTTATTCTCCATTTTACATTCATATTATGCCTTTAATATCCCGTGGCAAAATTAATTAGATGCTTATCATCATGAAGAATCATATATACAGATGTAAAAGAAAAAAAATCTTAATTAACAGTTATAAACTGTTCCATAAGAGGGTCTTCATGTTCTATAGAAAGATAAGTGTATAAAATTGGGATTTTTGGTGTTTAATCGTTAAAGAATTTGTTTTTCCATGATGCAAATGATTTTTAAAGATAGAATGATTAAAAAGTGAAATAGGAACGTGAAATTACGTGTGTGCATTATTCAAAGGTTGGTATGATTGACGAGGTTGTCCTGATTTGAAATTTAATCAGACCAATCTTCCCAACCATATCTATGAAGAGGTGAAAGTGGATAAATAAAAAATTTTCAATCTCAGAACAAATCGAAAACAATTTTTACAGGTGGATTCGTTTGAAGTACTTGAAGGAACGTTTCGGTTTTCAAATCTTCAGCCATGCTGCAGCCAAAAAGATTGGACGACATTTTTGGCAAAGGTACTTAAAATTAGTACGTTTTCATAACTTTGTGAAATTCATGTTGGTATGTTATCAAAAAGTGAAAACTTGAAAACAACTGTTGGCTACAACGCTTTAAAAAATTCCCTCTTTTAAAATTTCTGCGGAACAATTATCACCTCAACCAAAATTATATTTTAATGAGTATGTACCTATTAGTGTTTTATATTTTTATGTACGTTTATTCTGTTATTATATACATATGCTTATGCTTATGTGAAATATCGAACATTCGCCAACGTGAAAAAATTTGATGTAAACAACTGTTTATTACTATCGAGTATTCACTGTATTTTATCAAATCCATGAAAATTCTGTATGATTTATTCATAATAAAGTAAAGCTTTGAGTTAAATTGAGTTAATCTATTTCAATTTGTGTTATCAAAAATATTATATTTTAATTTTTATTTATTTTCTATTCGTTTACTTTTAGTAAAGGATTCTATTCTATTTACTCACACCACTGCTGTGTACACGTATTACTGATACCTTCTTGCAATAATACAAATTCTAATCATTGTGACAAAATAACATATGTGATTTGGTATGAGTGGTGTGATGTTGTATTATGCAATGTAATTTGTAGTGAAGATAAATAAATAAATAAAAATAAGTCGATATGTTCCCTTTTTTATACAAGACAGCTAAAATGTTTACTCTATAGTAATAGAGAACTTCCACTCTGTCTTCGTTTTAAATAAAATTAATTAAAATCGCAGATATTTTATACATATAAATAAAATAAAACAATACATAGAGGAATTGAATGTACACTTGGACCAATAAACAATGATAGTTGATAATAGCTAATGATAAATGCATTTTGTAATGCAAGCAAAAAAAAAATACAAAACAATTGGGAACTTTTAATAAAAAAAAAGGAAAAACTTTTTCTACCTTCGGTGCAACATTTCATTCAAATAAATTTAACAGTTAAGGGACATTTAATGTAGCGACAATTAAACATTTTGCAATAAACATGACTAACCAAGTTAGATACATTTAATGTATTAATGCACATGAAATATTTGTTGGCAACAGCAGTAATGAATGAGCCAATGTGCATAGCATTGCATCTATAATTAAATCACACATGCTTGGCATTTAAAACAATTGTCGTCTAGACAAAAAAAAAATAAAAGAACATCTTAAAGAATGTAAAACACATTCAATAAAAAGCCTCTGTGCAAAACAAATGAAAATCAGTAAGTTGTTGCTTTCAACAAAACAAACTTACTTTTCCTTGCATGATTAGTCGAATGGTGAGAGTTACATTAGGGTCATCGATAAGGTTTTTACCATCCAGATCCATGGTTATTCAAGAGGGTGAAGGGTGAGGAAGAAAATATTCGATTCAATTCTGGAATAAAAATAATCAACATGAAGGAATGCTAATTAAAACATAAAATCATCACTAACTACTGAATTAACTGAGCACTTTTCACAAAAAAAAACAATTGGTAGGTAGTATGGTAGTTTTAAAATTCTAACCACGGAGGTTTTGATAGACAGAATACGGTAATTATTTATCTATAAAGCTCAAAAGACCATTTTGATACAATTAATTAGTTTCACATATACACTGTGCCATTACACTTTAAAATTAACCGCAAAATAACTTCATACATGCAGCTTTGTTCACGTGTACAGAGTAATGTTGATCACTACATACCGAAATGTATACTTAAACATACCTGGCGTAAGATATACTATTTTAAGATGTATTTATCACAGATTTTTGTACAAGATTTGGCTTGTAAAAAGAGAATTATTCAATGTCTGTAATATTCTCATTTAATCTCTGTATTGTCTGCACATAAGCGTTGCCAATAACCACAGAAAAACGTTGTAACGCGCTGACTCCACAGACGCCAATAACTTTGTCATCAATGCGCATGTACTGAAGTAAATTATATATGCATTTGTGCGAGGAATGAACACAAAAACCAGCGATTCTAAAACAACGTGTCAGAGATTCTCAAACTTGTTTTGAATATGCAACCAGCAATAAGTTGTAGTACGTAAATAGAACTTTATACAATACCTACTACTATAATTGAGAGGAAAATATTGTATACGAGCATTACAAACTGGCAAGCATGTTTCCCGTTTTCGAAATTATTCAATTATCCGATTCAATTCTAAAGTAATAACTAAAACAAAAGAGATGGGAAAATAACGCACAAAAAATAAGTTGTTACATAATAATTCCTAAAAACAAAACTAAGCTTAAATCTTTACATACAATAGGAACTAATTTTCGCATTAACCAAGGTGTCTACTATAGGTCAGAATTTCTTTCTAATTATTGACAAGGTTTTTACTAGTTTGAAGTAATTTTATTTTTAGATTTTCTAAAATTATGAATAAAATAATTCGAAGTGTATTCTGTCGAAACTGCCAGAGGCGGATCGCGATTTCGATCTTTTTGGATCTCATCAGCGCGTCGCAGGCAGTTTCGACAGAACACAGACCAATTTTTACCTGTTATCTTAATAGCGCGTTTTATAATATACCACTAATGGTGCAGTAAACGCCATCTGTAGTACAATGCTACAATAATACAATCCCGGCGTACTTCGAATTATTTTATTCGATTATGCTAACGTGCCTATCACGTTGAGGTTAGCTGCGCCGGGATTCGTTTCAGCAAGTAGATATCCATATATTTAAATGGACCTTGTTGGAGCATACGTAATCCTAAAATGTAGCATCGTACTACAGATGGCGTTTACCGCGCCATTTGTGGTATTTTCTAAAACACACTGTTAAGACAGCAGGTAAAAGTTGGTCTGTGCTCTGTCGGAGCTGTCTGCGACTCACTGATGAGATCCAAAAAGATCGAAATCACGATTCGCGTCTGGCAGTTTCGACAGAATACAAACCACTTCGAATTATTTTATTCGATTAAGGTAACGTGCCTATCACGTTGAGGTTATCTACGCCGGGATTCGTTTTAGCAAGTAAACATCCATATATTTAAATGGACTTTGTTGGAGCATAGGTAATCCTAAAATGTAGCATTGTACTACAGATGGCGTTTACCGCCCCATTTGTGGTATATTATAAAATTATGAGTTGTGTTTTGTTGTCTATTTAGTAGATAATTTGACATGCTAAAAGGTGTTTCCTAAACACACGGGAAACAATCAAGAGGTGATTCCTGAGACATTTTTATGAAGACAAATTCTTATAAACATTTGTCAATTATTTAATCTTAGTAAAACCCAGTATGAGAGTGTTTTTTAGGTCGCTGAGTAGGATACTTTCCTGCCAATTCAAATGGATTACTAACTCATTCAGCTGGACAGAACTTTAGTACATTGCGCTTGAAAATTTACTTTTGAACCTTTCAAGGCTAGAAATTGCTATGTAATTTATAATTCAAAGGTCGTCAAAGTGCTTAAGGACTTCAGCTCCATTGTTCTTTGATGTAACTGATAACTCGAAGTCTTTGGATTTTAATATGTAATCGAGGATTTAAGAACTTTAAGTAAGGACTTTGGCAAGGGCGTCGCCAAACTCGCCACCCTCTAGAACAGCAGCGGACTTTGAGCATTCGGGGCCTGATGCCTTAGCCTTAGAATACGAGGCCACTTACGGGGCCCTATGAGTCGTTGGTAAAGAGCGATGCTACGTTCGTCCAAATTTGAATATTGTTTAGAAAAAAGCCGAAATTATAAACCCATTTCTTTAATTTCGCAAAAATACCTTTTCGTAACACATACCATATAACAACTCTTTGCCATCCTTTTATCATAGGGGCACGCAGAGATTTTTACAAAATTCGCATTCTAAAGGGTTGAAAGAGAGAGTCAAATGATAGATTAATAAGTAACTAAAGAGTTGTGATTAATTTTAATTAATAAATACATTGCGTTCATTATTTTACTGTGTATTTTCCTTAACGTCCCCATTATGCCCCCTCACCCCTATCTTGTTTTACTTTTATTTATTTTAATAAAATACCGTTTTGTCAATATCGCTTCCATTTTGTTTAAGGCTATCACTAACTCCTCCTTTACTAGACGCTAATACTGCAATACCATCTGCAAATTTTAGCACATTAATCTTTTGCCCTTGCACATCTATCCCTACAATTGTCCTACCTTTAATGTGAATCGCGTATTCGATGTATAGATTAAAATGTAGCGATGATAGTGTGCATCTTGATATTGTACTAGGAAATGTATGAAACTAATGATTTCTGTGAATAAAATACTGTAACATATCATAAATAAACTCCGATCTGTCATAAATCTACCTAGCCAAACGATGACGTCACCAATGCATATACATTGCAAGCAGCCTGCCGTAGTATTGCCTATTTTATGTCATAAGCCGCCGAATATTGTTTTTCAACTATCCGTAATGTCCGCACCCAACATATGTATATCAAAATGATTAGCATATTCACCTCTACAACATACTAAAAAATTCGTATGCACTGGTGACGTCATCGTTTGGCTAGGTAGATTTATGACAGATCGGAGTTTATTTATGATATATTAGAGTATTTTATTCACAGAAAGCATTTGTTTTATACATTTCCTAGTACAATGTCGGAATTGCTTATAATTCCTAGGAAATGTATACATTTCCCAAGATATGTGTGTATTAAAAAATCTTTGAAACAATATTTTATACATTTCCTAGGAATTGTATACAATTCCTATATTTCATACNTTAGGAAATGTATAAATGTTTCAAAGATTTTTTAATAGATACACATATCCTGGGAAATGTATACATTTCCTAGGAATTGTATGAAATAATACTCTAACACATCAGCAGGAACATTGAATAAACTCCAATCTGTCATAAATATACCTAACCAAACAATGACGTCAATGCAAGTACTTTGCAAGCAGCCTGCCGTAGTATTGCCTATTTTATGTCTTAAGCCGCCGAATATTGTTTTTCAACTATCCGTAATTTCCGCACCCAACATATGTATATCAAAATAATTAGCATATTCACCTCTACAACATACTAAAAAATTCGTATGCACTGGTGACATCATCGTTTGGCTAGGTAGATTTATGACACATCGGAGTTTATTTATGATATGTTAGAGTATTTTATTCACAGAAAGCACTTGTTTTAGACAATTTCTAGGAAATGTATACATTTCCCAAGATGTATGTGTATTAGAAAATTTTTGAAACAATATTTTATACATTTCCTCAATAGCCTCGGAATTATATACATTTCCTAGGAATTGTATACAATTTCTATATTTCATACATTTCCGGTAACATATATATCACTCTTCTATCTCTGTATCTCATCCCATTTAAGATATTTAACATCTTGACTCATTTAACATTGTCAAAAGCTTTTTTCAAATCTACGAATCCTATGTACGCGTTTTTTAATTTAAGCACAATTAACACAACACCTTCACAACCTGAACCTACCAAGAGCCAATTCGGCCTTCTTGTTTTCATGCGGCATTTTCTTAGGCGACAGTTCGACTAGGCGCGTTGAAAAATAACTGAAGAGTTTATTATTTTCGATGAGTTAAATGAAAAGTATTTTTCATAATTCAAATTTTATTTTTATCAGGGTAGGGTAGGTTTTTTGTTAAATGGCGAAAGAGTTTTACGCATTTGGATGGTTTACTTTCCTTGCTTATGGGCATAACTGTCTGAAATGTGAACGCACCGATGTTTTACTCTTGTGTGGGATTTACTGTTTATGGAAACCGAATCCCAAAGTTACCAATCATGAATCGAATATTGTCGAATTCTGTCGAAACTGCCAGACGCGAATCGCGATTTCGATCTCTTTGGATCTCATAATACAGACCACTTCGAATTATTTTATTCGATTAAGCTAACGTGCCTACCACGTTGAGGTTGTCTACACCGGGATTTGTTTTCAGCAAGTAGATATCCACACAAGTGGACCTTGTTGGAGCATACGTAATCCTAAAATGTAGCATCGTGCTATAGATGGCGTTCACTGCGTCATTTGTAGTATTTTCTAAAACGCACTGTTAAGACAGCAGGTAAAAGTTGGTCTGTGTTCTGTCGGGCTGCCTTCGACGCGCTGATGAGATCCAAAGAGATCGAAATCGCGATTCGCGTCTGGCAGTTTCGACTAAGCAAGTCAAATTCGGATACATGATGACTGCGAAGGGAGAAGTAGTCGTAATGAAATTTTATAGAAACTAAAGACAAAACAGCTTAATAGTAAAATGACACTAAGTGATTAGATGGCAATCTTCTGATAAAGTAGCTACAATGGCCAGAAGATACACAGGTGTACAAGAAAAAGTAGAAAACATCAATCCCAATGCTGACTAAAACTAAGTTGTTTGCATGCGGCTTCAGCACATTAGAACGTTACTATGCTTTCTAGCTCCACACCCAAGGGGGGTGCTGATTTCTACTATAGAATAGACGTTGAAGCATTAAACCATTATAAGGACTTTGGACGTTAGAGAAGCTAACTATAAGAGAAATAGAGAAAAGATGAACTCAGGAACGGATGCAAGAATTTTGTTAGTTTCGTTTCTATGTTTCTTGAGCCTCTGGCAACCGGTACTGAATGATGTGAATGATGCCTATCAGTGTGCTCAGAAAATATGTACCTAAACCTTTTACAGACGCCATTGGAAGAAAAACGAGAGGAATTTATAGACGAGGCTTTAAATCACCCTAAAATATTCTGTAGGGAATTGGACATTTTTGTTGAAACTACATTAGAATAAAGAACAATTTCGGTGACGGAAAGAAGATACAACTCTATCGTACGAAGACGACATAAAAAGAACAATGTTTTCTTTATTAGATGGAGTCACTGCTAAAATTCTCCACAATTTGATGGAAAAAATGTACCTTCCCAAGACCGGCTATAATTTGG